CTCCTCTGGTTTGTTCTTATTAGCTCCAAAGATCTTGATGGTGGGGAACCCTCTGACACCATACTGGCCACCCAGTGACTTGTGCTGGTCAGCATCCACAGCACCAACTTTGACAATACCCTGAGGAAAAGTCACAACACACAATTTGGGTTATGCAGCTTCTGAGTTTATATTCAGGTCAATTTATTTTTATTTGGTTTAAAACAAAACTTTAGTTTGCATGCCAATGAACAATTGCCATTAAACTGGGATTTCATTACTGGAGTTGCCCATATCAACAATACTGTGTGGAAAAAGGAGAAGACATTTAACGAAATATAACAAGTCGTTTTTAATCTGGATCCTGTCATCCCAGGTTGGATAACGTCTAATTTTTTCCTAGTTTTCAACAACAGAAAAGTTAAGTAGATAGCACCTCTTTCTTACAGACAAATATCCTTTATTAAGTAACCATTTTTTATACTTAAATATCAAATAAAAGGCACACACACATAACCATCCACTGAATGCGCTGCCACTAAAATTACTGTGAAATTTAAAGTCAACAAAGCCCACCGCTGAATATTTCTCCACAACAGAGGTAGGCGTTTTTAATGCAGAAGAGGCATTCAGCTGAGAAAACAGGCTGTCAATCAGAAAGTCTACAGGGCATCAGATAGATGATCACGGTAATTTGTATTTACCTTGAGGGCAGTAGCTGCCTTCTTCCAATCAGGAGCTAGATTTCGACAGTGGCCACACCTGTCAGAAAGCAACAGAGAAAGTGAAACCTAAATCCATGTTTTTATACACAAACTCATTTTAATGTTAAAAAACACAACCATCATTTTGCCAGTGTGAGATTTATTCTACAGTCCTTCAGTAATGACCTGCTAAATACAACGCACAAACAGCTATGTGGCACCCTTATTAGTCACTGAACCAAATGCTCTGGTATTAATAGCCAGTGAATATTTAACACTTTTGATTTGCATAGATTTTGTGCAGTCACATCTCCACCAACTGCCTCTTGTTGCAGAATTGAGTTTTGCTATACCAACCCTGTGTGCACGCAAGCGTGTAGACTGTGTGCGTCTATGCACAAACTATTCTCACTTTGTGTCTCTGTTGAGCACTTTTGCACGAGATGGTGCTCAACCTAAGGAGGAGCTACCAGCTTACCAGACAAGTCTATTCCTATCACAAGTACAGATGTAAAACAGATGACTGGATAATAAAACACAAAGATTAGAAACTGGTATTTAAACTATAATCACTGGCTGCTCTTAGAACACTTGTTACCACTACAAGACAAAAAGAGTCCATCACAGTTATACAAACTCACCAGGGAGCATAAAACTCGACCAGCCACAGACTGTCACTCTGGATCACCTCTCTGTTAAAGTTGGATTGGGTGAGCTCGATAACATCATCACTAGCCGAGTACAAAGCTTGGACAGCCAGAACCAGAGAGCAGCGCAGTACTCCTGAAACAAAACATGAGGACAAGAGGAAAAGGATGACGCCTAGCAATGCATACTCATTCATCGAAACAGCCACTTGGTTTAAGAAAACAGCGAGAAAATGTTTTACATCTACTTTTGTGCAGTTTATAATGTACATTTATTTAACAAAGAAAGGAAATGAGTTTTATTATTTAATTCAGTAGACGATAACAAAGGCCTGGCTCTGTTCTCTGAATCTTAACTTAGCTATTCAAGCTAACAAGACGAGCAAAAAAAAAAAAACGCCGCCAAATTCACATTTAGTTAACAAACCAACAAACCTTAACTTTAGTATAAGCAGAAAAGCTTCAACTGTTGTCACTCACCGAGTAAAAGTGGCTTCATGATTTCAGCCTCTCTATGCTCGTCTCCTCACTTAGAACAACACAGTCCGCTGCCGCTGCGTCGCTCACAAAAGTACACAGAAAAATCTCACCGTGGCCCACCCTGATTGGTCCGCTGATGCCGACGCTTGAGCTCAGCCAATCAGCGCGCGCCGTGTAGTTTTAATGGAACCGGTACACTGAAGACGGGAGAGAGTGGCCGGAGGAGAAAGGAAGCTACACATGTAACAGCAGCAAGAGGATGTGATCCGTGAGAAGGCTGACTCATTACAAACAGATGGAATGCGACTGTACATATTAAACACAGTATCGTACAGAGTTTGCTTATGCAAAGGCATGCAAAGATAAGCCAAACTTAAAAGCTAAGTAATGCTTTTCAGTGTAAATAACACATAACCTTTACTTCTCAATAAGTTTTAGACAGCTACACAGATAAAATAATACTAAAATAAAAATAAATGGTATCTATTTGTTACTATATTACTATCATTGTTTATTGAATTGTAATTATTTTAATGGTTTACTATTAACAATGCATTATGCTTTGCCTTAATGTGAAACGCCAACAATCTAAACTACATTTTTTTGTAACTTTTCCTCATCATAAAGTGTAAAGAGACGTAAAACTGATCCATACACTCCCTGACAACTTCATTAAGTACACCTGGTCCTTAATGCAAATATGTAATCAGCCAATTACATGATAACAACTCATTGAATTTAGGCATTATTTAACCTTCAAACTGAGCATCAGAAATTGTAAGAAAGGTGATTTAAATAACTTTGAATGTGGCATGATTGTTGGTACCAGACAGGCTGGTCTGAGTATTTCAGTATTGCTGGTCTATTGGCATTTTCCTGCTCAATCATCTCTAGGATGAAAAAAAGTACCTTTGGCTGCTCCCTTATTTCCTAAGAGGTTCCCACATGGAATGAATTCACGTGCTTTCATTTGGCATGGATTTTACACCAAATGCACTTCCTAATGCAATCCTCCCATTTTTAGAATTGATCAAAAAGGAGAAAATATCCACTGAACAGCAGTACTATAGGCCAAAATGCCTTGTTAAGGTCAGATGAGAATGACCAGACTGCTTTGAGTTGACAGGAAGGCAACTGTAACTCAAACAACCACTCTGTAAACTCACACTAAATCATTAAGCAGATGTTTTATAGCAGCAGAAGGCTACACTAGGTGCCATTCTTGCCAGCTAAGAACAGGAAACTGAACCTATGGTTTGCACGTGCTCACCAAAATTGGACAACAGAAGATTAGAAAAACTGGCCTGATGAGCTTCGATTTCTGCTGCAACATTCAGATGGCAGAGTCAGAATTTGGCATAAATAACACGAGAGCATGGATCCATCCTGCTTTGTGTCAATGGTTCAGGCTGTAGGTGGTGTGCATACTTTCTTTTTACAGTTTGACCCCCTTACTACTAAGTGAGCCTCTTAGACATCACATCATACCTCAGTATTGTTGCTAACCCTGTCCAATCCATTAAAACTATGATGTAGTCATCTTCTGATCAGCAGGATAAAAACATCCAACAAGGTCCAACATCTCAGAGGAATATTTGCAGCACCTTATTGAATCCATGCCATGAAGAATAAAAGCAGTTCTGAAGGCAAAAGAGGTCCAACCTGGCACTTGCAAGATGCACCTAATGAAGTGGCTGGTCTGTGTTTGAGACCTATTAAAGACTGAGTTTTAACTCCTATGTGAAGATTTTTCATATCACAATAAATTTCCATGAGTTAAAAAATGTTTTCTCATTTTTTACAATAAATCACTTTATCAATCACTAAAAAGGGTGCATTGAATATAATTTCATTCTGTAAAATAATCAAAGCTTCTGTGGTTTCAAGCAAGACTCTAGCTGCCAAAAGAGAGTCCACCAAGCAGTAAAGAGGATAAATGAAGTAATGACTGCACGTAAATGACATTTACATCCTAACTATAGCAGTCAAAATTTAAATGCAATATATTCTGTCATCTTTTCTTTTTTCTTTCTTTCTTTGATTTTTTTTTTGGAATTTAGAGGAAATGTGGTCAAAATTGAGTTCTCCTCGTTGCTATGTGGCTTTTCTTCCTCCCACAGTCCGCATGGTCATTCTAGATTGACCATAGGTGTGAATGACTGATAAGTGCAAACATGGGAAGTGATTCGAAGATAGCTTAAGATGCAGTAGTTCAAAGATATTGTCAGTAGGTGGAGACAAAGAACAAGACATGGAGAATGGCTGCTGAAAGCCATTCAAGCTGTTACTTCAGTGAGCTGGAGGTCTGATCAGGTGAACTTGGTGTTCAACTTGTAAAAAGACAAGAAATACATAAAATAAACACACAGAAAATAAATATTCTGGAAAATATCTTAAAAATGTGTATAAATAGGCCAAAAGTGTAAGAAAAACGCATTACAGTAAAGCTGCCACTGATTGTAATTTCCAGCCATTTCTGTCAGTTCAGTTCATAGTAGCCAGTTACTTTTTTTTTCAGTTGCTTTTCCTTAAAAAGTCTCGATTACTCCTCATATTAAGTACTTAATAATTAGCTGTTTGCTGAGCTGTTGATGATGCGTGATAATGAATTCAAAATGGATGATGGATAATGCATCCATTTGGGTTAAGATTTCATCCGCTGTTGATGGAAAAATGGATGATTTGATTAACTGCCACTTTAACCAATTGTTGTTCTCCTCCAGCCCAACCCAGAGGTACGACTATGACCCTACCGTTTCACAAATCATCACATGCCTTGGAGATTTATGATCTGCGCCTGGCTGCACTGCGCGAGCGGAAGACACCCAGCGAGCTTTAAAAAATAAAAGCATAACATGCCAAGATAATAGGTCGGGTGGGGCTATAGCAAGCTGAGTGAATATTAGAACAAACCATAACTTTTAGTATAATGCGCTAATTTATTATTGAACAAATTATACATTGAATTTTGCATGTGCTAGTATTGGCATCCCATAATGAACATAACTTGGCGTACAATTTTGGGGACAAAGAGTGTGTCTTTAAATTATACATTAAATAAACAGCCTACTCCACTTTTACCTGTCTCATACTGCTATACGTGTTTTATTGTGAAATTTAAGCCTGGAAATCTCGGTTTGCTTTGGTTATGGCACGCTTGATAGTAGGCGCACTTCAATGCCAACTTTCTCAGAGCGCACAGGCGCAATGATCACTGCCAAACACAGCTGAGTGGAAGTGAGGAGACTTCACGCTGCATTCAGTTTCTGAGCATACACGTTTTCCTAACCTAAAAGAACAGAAATTAGAAGGTTTGTCGGTTGTTACGCACAGCGCCAGAGCTTCTAGTGACTTGCGTTAACTTTGTCAGAAAACGGATTCTGTTATAATCTCAACTAGTTTGGCTGTTTTCTGGCGGACTTGTCAGAATAATGTGGGGCTTCCAGAGGACGCGGTATGCAGACTGCAACGGTTCTGAGGCCAGTGAAGAGACTGAGATTGTGGTGAATATCGGCGGAGTGAAACAGGTGTTGTATGGAGACGTGTTGACTCGCTTCCCGGAGACTCGACTGGCAGAGCTGGTGGACAGTTCACTCAAATCTTCTGAAGAAATCTCATTAATATGTGACGATTACGACCCGGACACGGGAGAATTTTACTTTGACAGAGATCCCGAAGCTTTTAAGTGCATAATTGAGTTGTATTATTATGGGGAGATACATATGAAACGAGGCATATGTCCAATTTGCTTCATGAAGGAGATGGAGTTCTGGAAAATTGACTCGGATTTTCTGGATGAATGTTGCAAAAGCCACCTGAAAGAGGTAGAGGATGAACTTGCAGAGATAGCCGAGAAAGTGAGAACTATCCTTGTCGACAGAGAAGGCGATCCGTCTGCAGGGGGCTGGCAGCGCTTCCAGATCTGCCTCTGGCGGTTGATGGAAAAGCCAGAATCGTCACTGCCTGCCCACATAATCGCTATAGTTTCTTTCATCTTCATCCTCATCTCCTCCGTGGTGATGTGCGTCGGCACCATCCCCGACCTGCAGGTGGAGGACTCGGAGGGTAAACTCACGGAGCATCCGGTCCTGGAGGTCATCGAGACCGTGTGCATTGGCTGGTTTACTATTGAATACCTCCTGCGTCTGATCTCTTCCCCAAATAAAATAAAATTCGTACTGTCCTTCATGAATATAATCGACTTCATGGCGATCATGCCCTTTTATGTGGTGCTGATTCTGACCTCTTTCGGCGCGGGAATGATGGAGCTGGCTAATGTGCAGCAAGCAGTGCAGGCTTTACGCATAATGCGCATTGCGCGCATTTTCAAGCTGGCTCGCCATTCCTCGGGACTCCAGACTCTGACATCTGCCCTAAAGAGCAGCCTGAAGGAGCTCGGACTGCTCCTCATGTACATGGGCGTGGGGGTATTCCTTTTCTCGGCTCTGGGCTACACTATGGAGCAGAATCACCCGGACACGTTGTTCACCAGCATCCCACAGTCTTTTTGGTGGGCTGTGATCACCATGACCACAGTGGGGTATGGAGATGTCTACCCTAAGACCACTTTAGGTCGGTGTAACGCGGCTATCAGCTTTCTCTGTGGGGTCATCGCCATAGCCCTGCCTATACATCCCATCATCAACAATTTTGTCTTGTTCTACAACAAGCAACAGGTGCTGGAGACTGCGGCCAAACATGAGATTGAACTGATGGCACTGCGCACCGGCGGCGAGCTCAAGGCTGCATCTGGCTCCCATAAACATATTTGCGGTGCAGGGGCCTGGGACAACGATATGCGTTCCGGTCACAGCGATACATTCATTCCCTTACTGAAGGATCCCAGGGGAGGGGCGGGCATCCAGACCCCTAGCATGGACACAAGCTTTGAAAGCACAGCCGAGGCCACTGAACATTTTATCTCATGAAAGGGAAATCCCCCTTGCATTAAAAAGTCAGCAAAAGAAGAAGCAACATGAAATTAATTATTCAGTTTTGAATTATTCAAACGTAACTTGACAAATTTGGTTTAATGACACCGCCGTGACTGCAGAATGTAAATAGTCTCGTGGACAGAAGAAGACTTTAATGCTTTCCAGGGACCTTTAAATGCATTTGAGGATTTGCGCCTGTTAAACAGACATATGTGTGAGATATTGAATTGATGAGCTGTGCCTTTGCGCAGTGACTCCCTGTAGGCTGAGGGGTTCTGTTCAAACAGCAAATACACCGATTCCCCCATGTAGACATCTTATATAACACGCCCATAGTCCTCACACTTATACTGTAGACCGCATTGTAGCGTAGTCCTCTGTACAGAAATATATACATCACAGTAAATGCTTTTAGTAACGCAGACAGGCAGCTTTAGTCAAGAGCACAGAGAAATGTAATGACCCCAGGATTGATTTGTGAGAGTGTATAGACATCAAAACAGAGCTGAAGAAAAGCTGAAGGTGTTTGGATACAGACCACATGCCATACATTCAAATGAGGTAGGTGACTGTATCACTGCAACGTGTTGCAACCAAAGGTGTATGATGGAGACACAAAGCAACATAAGACTGGGGGTGGGTTTATTTTTGCTGCTGCCTGTAATCGTCATGGCATCATTGTAATTTTTTTGTAACTGACACTATATGATTGTGAGGTAATGCATCAAACATAAAGCCCGTCTACTGTGCAGGAATTTTTAATGCAGCGTCTGTGTCATTGGACTGAATTTCTCGTTAAGCTCGTGTTGCCGACATCGGAACTTCAGAGGCGTCCTTGCCTGCAAGACATGTTCCTGTAAATGGGTTTAAATTTTTACAGCAGTCGTCACCATCTCTGCAGAGGTTCCGAGGAATAAACTTGACCAGCGAGTTGTAAATGAGGGAAAGAAGCAACAGGCAAAACAAAAACGCTCGTGTATAACTCTATACATTAGTTTTTCAGCGTTCGGGGAAATACAGTAGAGAAAAATACATAAAAAGAACAAATACATAAATAATAGAACTGTCTGGAAAGCAGGTAATGGATTTTAAAGAAACTTGAAACCACCGAGTATTTTCGCACTGCCTCATGTTCCAGAGTGAACTCTTAAATTGCCCTAATGGGGGCTATTTTTAAAGGTTACATTTTCACGGTTTGAAAGGTGTCAGCTCCTACGCCATTAGTCTGAGTGACATGAAATTTGCTGCACAAATAAACCAGTCCTTAGAAAAATTAGGCGGCACAGTAGGGGAGCTATAATTAAAATCTGGCACGTTTCATTCAGATGTCATGTCTAATGTGGCTTTTAAACTTTTAAATCATTGCTCTCAGTTGAAAGCCCCTAAAGTTCTATAAGGTAACTTTTTTTTATTGCAATTTTCTTGTGAGGTGGGTTATTATCTGAATAATTTATGATACATTTTGTCTTGATATTCGATTATATCTGTCCTGAACAACTTTAGATACATAGAGTAACCCCTGATTGCAGAGAACTCAGCTGGTTATGTGTTAGTGTCTCTCTGGATTGTCATAACACAAAATTTGTGCTGCTTTTACAGACAGCGATCATTAATCCATACTAAAGGTTTGTATGAAGGACTAAAGCTCATAGTCTGCATAGTGGATGTGAAAGATAATCCCATGTCTATGGGTAAGAGCAAGAATGTCAGTCTATGACCTTCCAAGGTGACTAAACTAAAATTCACAGCAGAATCCTTTTCAATATATAGCAGCTGTTTGCACCTGATAGGGATTTATAGTAAATCATACGGCAGGAGAAATAAAACTTGAACAGCTTAGTTTTAGGCATTATAAGATGACTGTGTGCATCTTCAGTAATTAATGAATCATGCCTATTTATACATTAACAACACAATTAATTGTGCCTACAGTTTTAGGAGCTACTGTAGGTGGAGCATCCCTAATCAGGAATCACTGGATA